ATAAAAGCGTTGTATATTAAAAAGTTTTTTTTTATATTATTTATTTTATCATGCATTACAAAGTAAAAAAAAATATTTTTTTCGAATTTTTGAGTATGCATATATGTATATGTATTTTTTTTAATTGTAACATAATTATTCTTTCATCGACGAGTAATTATTTACTAAAACAAATTTCCGAAATACATACATAAATGATTATCGAGCCAATTTCAAAACTATTCAGCTCAGAAAAAAGATATGAGTATTTGACTGTGATACTCTAATTTGCTAAATTTAATAATTAGCCTGCTGAAACAGCATTCCAAGATAAAACATCAACATCTAAATTTCATGTGGGAAATCCGCCTCTATTTTATTATAGATACAAATTAAAAAAATTACGAAAATTTAAAAACTTTATAATATTTTTAGGACTTGTGGTGTGCGCCTTGATGTTGTCACACAAAGTGAAGGGACCTACAGTTTTGCGCCGACTCCGAAGCTGTTTTTCATGAAAGAAATACACTCGGAGGTTTGCCGTTGCCAGCCGAGGGACGACCGCTGTTAAGAAAAAACATTTTTTTATATTCTTTTGCGATGTTAATTTGACCAGGGCTATATTAATCAAAGTTTCACACTTTATATAAGGTTATAAAAAATTAATCAGGTTTAAATTTTTTCACACTTTGAAGGTGACCACTAATTATTATTTAAAATTCTTTAAATTTTCGTGGAAGATTATATTTTGTATTTGTAAAAAAATAGGGGTGCCCCATACACTACTTAGATTTTTATGTTTTTTTAAGGGCCATCCTAAAACGCATTAATATATTAAGTATGCATGCAAATAACTTACCACCCTGTTTCTATGAATCGTATCTAATAGATACACAATTATAAGCACTCACCTGAAAATAGATAGAAGGAAAATTATGATTGCTGTTTCATGATTTGCATTTATACATATTAACTAAAAGTATTTGTTCTGTGGCAATAAGAAATTTCCAAATAATTATGCTAAGTATTCCACATGGCTCAAAATGTTTAAGCAGTGGGGTTAAATCGGTCTTGTGATCAATTAATTTCGCTAACTTCATAAAATAATAAGCGTCAAAGAACGCATAGCTTCAATACTGATAAAAAGTTTATATTTTTATTTTTATTGCGAGCCAAGAAGCACGTACATCTGTATGTAAATACATATATGTATGTACTTGCAGTTGAAGAACGCCGGCATAGCAAGCACCCTCGTGATAAACACCCCACATGGGGCACAGCGAAATGCTCTTTGCTAATTCCAAAGAGCTAAATGCTACTAGGCAGATTGTTTCCATACTACATAGACACATTCATGAATTGATTAGCTCAATTTCGTTAGTAGATATATTAATTAATTAGTTCAGTAACTAGGTATAAAAGCTCTATAAACTATTGACACTCCAGTACAACAATTCCACCACTGAACCAAGTTGCATCGGCTGCAACTAAATTGCATTGAAAATGTTTTCAATAATCCTGTTTGGTGCTTTAATTGCATTTACCAACTCAGCTGTATACAATGAGCCATCCAATCAGTATTCTTCAGCATCTGTAGCACAAGCGGCACCAGCTCCATCTTCATTGCCTCGATACCTGAATCCAGGAACTGCTCAAAATCCGTGGCGATTTTTGACATCTAATCAGTACTTGCCTTTACCAACACCATCATCTCCCTCTGCATCAACTCAAACATCGTATGCAGCACCATCTCCAGCGCCTGCTCCCTACTCAGCTAAAAGCTTGGCACAAGTTTCCTACGCAGCTCCAGTATCAACACCTTGCACATATTCAGCGCCAGATCAGGCCACTGACCCTAAGTCAGCATCTTACGCCGCTTCTAGCTCTGCTCAGGCGTCCTATGCAGCTCCGGCCCCAACTCCTGTTCTTGCATCACACTCTACTCGTGACTCCGCTCAAACCTCTTATATTGCAGCTCTTTCTAGCTATGCTCCAGCTTCTTATACCGCACCTGATCCTGCTCCTGCGCCCTCTCCAGCCTCTTATGATGCCCCAGATCCAGCTCCCGCAACGTATGCTACCCAGGCCTCGTATGCTACACCAGCTCTTGCTCCTGCACCCGGTCCAGCATCTTATGCTGCTCCGAGCTATACTCAAGCTTCTTATTCCGCACCTGCACCTGCCCATTCGCCCGCTCCTGCATCTTACGTAAGCTCCAGCAATGCTCCGGCCTCTTATGCTGCACCAGCACCTGCACCGTCATCTCATGCGGCTTACAGCTCTGATCCGGCCGCTTATTCTGCACCAAAACCAGCTCTCTCGACTGATCCAGCATCTTACGCTGCGCCTAGCTATGCTCAAGCTTCGTATGCTGCACCTGCAGCTGGTTCTGCGCCCGCTCCATCCTCTTATGCTGCTCCGGATCCTGCTTCTGCATCTTACGCTGCTCCGAGCTATACTCAAGCTTCTTATTCCGCACCTACACCTGCCGCTGCGCCCGCTCCTGCATCTTACGTAAGCCCCAGTAATGCCCAGGCCTCTTATGATGCACCAGAACCTGCTCCAGCCTCTTATGCTGCCTCGGATCCTGCTCCTGCATCTTACGCTGCTCCGAGCTATGCTCAAGCTTCATATGCCGCACCTGCACCTGTCCCTGCGCCCGCTCCTGCATCGTACGTAANTCCAGCATCTTACGCTCTGACTAGCTATGCTCAAGCTTCGTATGCCGCACCTGCACCTGCGCCGTCATCTCATGCGGCTTCCAGCTCTGATCCGGCCGCTTATTCTGCACCAGAACCAGCTCCCTCGACTGATCCAGCATCTTACGCTCTGACTAGCTATGCTCAAGCTTCTCATACTGCACATGTACCTGCCTCTGCGCCCGCTCCTGCATCGTACGTAAGCTCGAGCAATGGCCAGGCCTCTTATGCTGCCTCGGATCCTGCTCCTGCATCTTACGCTGCTCCGAGCTATGCTCAAGCTTCTCATACTGCACATGTACCTGCCTCTGCGCCCGCTCCTGCATCGTACGTAAGCTCGAGCAATGGCCAGGCCTCTTATGCTGCACCAGCACCTGCTCCTGTACCTTGCTCTGCACCCGCTCCGCCATCTCATGCGGCTTCCAGCTCTGATCCGGCCGCTTATTCTGCACCAGAACCAGCTCCCTCGACTGATCCAGCATCTTACGCTCTGACTAGCTATGCTCAAGCTTCGTATGCCGCACCTGCACCTGCGCCGTCATCTCATGCGGCTTCCAGCTATGATCCGGCCGCTTATTCTGCACCAGAACCAGCTCCTTCCACTGACCCAGCATCTTACTCTGCGCCTAGCTATGCTCAAGCTGCTTCTGCGCCCGCTCCATCCTCCTATACTGCCCCGGATCCTGCTCCTGCATCTTACGCTGATCAGAGTTATACTCAAGCTTCTTATTCCGCACCTGCACTTGCCCCTGCACCCGCTCCTGCATCTTACGTAAGCCCCAGTAATGCACAGGCCTCTTATGATACACCAGAACCTGCTCCAGCCTCTTATGCTGCCTCGGATCCTGCTCCTGCATCTTACGCTGCTCCGAGCTATGCTCAAGCTTCTCATACCGCACATGTACCTGCCTCTGCGCCCGCTCCTGCATCGTACGTAAGCTCGAGCAATGGCCAGGCCTCTTATGCTGCACCAGCACCTGCTCCTGTACCTTGCTCTGCACCCGCTCCGCCATCTCATGCGGCTTCCAGCTCTGATCCGGCCGCTTATTCTGCACCAGAACCAGCTCCCTCGACTGACCCAGCATCTTACGCTGTGCCTAGCTATGCTCAAGCTTCGTATGCCGCACCTGCACCAGCGCCGTCATCTCATGCGGCTTCCAGCTCTGATCCGGCCGCTTATTCTGCACCAGAACCAGCTCCCTCGACTGACCCAGCATCTTACGCTCTGCCTAGCTATGCTCAAGCTTCGTATGCCGCACCTGCACCTGCGCCGTCATCTCATGCGGCTTCCAGCTATGATCCGGCCGCTTATTCTGCACCAGAACCAGCTCCTTCCACTGACCCAGCATCTTACTCTGCGCCTAGCTATGCTCAAGCTGCTTCTGCGCCCGCTCCATCCTCCTATACTGCCCCGGATCCTGCTCCTGCATCTTACGCTGATCAGAGTTATACTCAAGCTTCTTATTCCGCACCTGCACTTGCCCCTGCACCCGCTCCTGCATCTTACGTAAGCCCCAGTAATGCACAGGCCTCTTATGATACACCAGAACCTGCTCCAGCCTCTTATGCTGCCTCGGATCCTGCTCCTGCATCTTACGCTGCTCCGAGCTATGCTCAAGCTTCTCATACCGCACATGTACCTGCCTCTGCGCCCGCTCCTGCATCGTACGTAAGCTCGAGCAATGGCCAGGCCTCTTATGCTGCACCAGCACCTGCTCCTGTACCTTGCTCTGCACCCGCTCCGCCATCTCATGCGGCTTCCAGCTCTGATCCGGCCGCTTATTCTGCACCAGAACCAGCTCCCTCGACTGACCCAGCATCTTACGCTGTGCCTAGCTATGCTCAAGCTTCGTATGCCGCACCTGCACCAGCGCCGTCATCTCATGCGGCTTCCAGCTCTGATCCGGCCGCTTATTCTGCACCAGAACCAGCTCCCTCGACTGACCCAGCATCTTACGCTCTGCCTAGCTATGCTCAAGCTTCGTATGCCGCACCTGCACCTGCTCCTGCGCCCGCTCCAGCCTCTTATGCTACCCCGGATCCTGCTCCTGCATCTTACGCTGCGCCTAGCTATGCTCAAGCTTCGTATGCCGCACCTGCACCTGCGCCCGCTCCTGCATCTTACGTAAAGCCCAGAAATGGTCAAGCCTCCTATGCTGCGCCCTCCCCAGCATCTTATGCTGCCCCAGCACCTGCTCCTGCACCCACTCCAGCATCTTACTCGGCTCGTCTCTCTCCTCCGGCCTCTTATTCTGCGCCGGGGCCATCTTCTTTGGCTGATCCAGCATCTTACGCTGCTCCGAGCTATGCTCAAGCTTCTTATACCGCACCTGCACCAGCCCCTGCGCCTGCTCCTGCATCTTACGTAGGCTCCAGCAATGGTCAGGCCTCTTATGCTGCACCAGCACCTGCTCCTGTACCTTGTTCTGCACGCGCTCCATCATCTTATTTGGCTTCCAGCTCTGATCCGGCCGCTTATTCTGCACCAGAACCAGCTCCTTCGGCTGATCCAGAATCTTACGCTGCTCCGAGCTATGCTCATGCTTCTTATGCCGCTCCTGCATCTGACCCAACATCCTATGCCGCCCCATCTCCTTCTCCAGCTCCGGCTCCAGCTTCTGCACCTGCTCCAGCTTCTTATGCTGCCCCGGATCCTGCTCCTGCATCTTACGCTGCTCCGAGCTATGCTCAAGCTTCTTATACCGCTCCTGAACCAGCCCCTGCGCCCGCTCCTACATCTTACGTAAAGCCCAGAAATGGTCAAGCCTCCTATGCTGCGCTCTCCCCATCATCTTATGCTGCCCCAGCTCCTGCTCCTCTGCCCTCTCAAGCATCTTACGCTGACCCCAGATATGTTCAAGCTTCGTATGTTGCTCCTGCACCTGCTCCTGCGCCTGCTCCAGCCTTTTATACTTCCCCAGATCGTTCTCCTGCAACATATGCTGCTCCTAGCTCTGCTCAGGCCTCTTATGCTGCACCATCTCCTTATCCTGCACCCTCTCCGGCATCCTATGCCTCCCGTAGCTCTACTCAGACGTCGCATGCATCACGTGTTCCTGAACCCGCTCCAGCTTCCTATATAACCATAAAATTTGGTCAAGCTTCTCATGCGGCACCTGCTCCTGCGCCTGCTCCAGCATCTTACACAGCACCTAGTTCTGCGCAAAACGCTTATGCTGGCCCACCTCCTCCTTCAGCATCGTACGTTGGCTCAAACTCAGTTCAATCATCTTACAAAGCGCGGGCGGCTGCTCCTAACTCTTCTCCTAATTCAAGTGATGTTATCTTTTATCTATAGTGTTCTCCCAAGTTAATTTATTTATAGTGTATTCCATAAACAATTTGTAATAAACGATGTGATAAGTAAGTTATATGCAATGAATATTTTATTTAATATTTTAATACCCAAAACACCTCTACGAATCCAACTATTCAACCCGACAAGCCTTAAATAATATTCATTGCCACGTCCTACCTGATGATACGGCATAGAACACTAGCCATACCTTTACTTCCTCCTTGAAAGCAGTAATTTCCTTTTGTCTCGAACCGTTTCCGAAAGCAAAAATATCGAAATATTACAGACGCTTTCAGAAGCAAATATAAAATCCGGCAGATTTTTTATTATAAGTTAACTTTAAATTGACTTTGTTTTGAAATTGTGGGTATAACTTTTCGAAGGCATAGTAGAAGCTGTTTTGGCATGAGAAAACCTTAGCCGACTTCTACCGTTTATTTTTAATCAAATATGGGGGGGGCGCCCCATTCAGGAAGGTCCAGTCTGTCGTTGGACAAGATCAAGTTATCCAACGTTTCGAAGCGGTGGTCAAGCCAGGGCATATGCTCCTTTCGCTCTGAAAATGCCTCAACGGCTGGCGAGACTGAGGGGCAAAAACGCTGAAGAACTGATCGTACAAGAGCTCGACTCATAATTCAGGGCCGAGAAGTTCATTGCTGAACATTCGGCGAGAGCCAAAGCGGAACCCGCACTGGGAAAACGAACAAATGTATCCCCCGATCTAATGGCTTATGAGCAGCAGAGAATATCTTTTGCAGATATGGCGAAGGATAGATTCGTAAGTGAGGTGATTGGGCGCAGCTTCGACGATGGGGCACTCTCATCGCAAACTTGTGACCTGGTCGGCAGGAAGCTTTGGAGTGTATACAGAACAGTCCTTACGGAAACCCCATATAAAAGAAATTGTCGAGCATACTTTGTATGGCGGAAAATGCACAATATTGTCAGCAAAAAAAATATATATGTTTAAAATCCCCGCAATTGTCTAGCGTCTTAAAATTTGCATCTTAATCTACTAAAATTTAATGGGCTATAAAACTTCAGACCTAAATTTTTTCTAAAAAGTTTAAATAAAAAGTTTGAATTTTTAGGGCCAGAAGTTACAAAAATTTTCGAGAGGGTCAATTCTCGTTCTGCGTTATTGTGAAGTGATAAAAATAACACTTTCTCACCGCACTTATTTTCGATGCGAAATTTTGACTTTTCACTCCACTTCACGATAACATAGAACGGGAATTGACCCCCAGGAGAGAATGGTAATATATGCCACTCTTGATCAGCAGTCTTGCAACTATGCCGTTATTTTGCATTACATTGTCAAATATCAATACATATTTTGTTATGAGTGGATAAAGGTGGCCTCAAGCAGATGCGATGCTACCGAGGCGATAGAAAAATTTACGATATGCGATCAATACAATCCATTAGGGGTATTCACCAAGTTGAGCAATTGATCTGGCACTCTGGCAAAAGAGCTGTTATCAACAGTCATTGTTTGAGCTAATCAGCTCTTTTGCCCGAGTGCCAGATCAATTTCTCAATTTGGTGAATACCCCTTTTGAAAATGGGAGCGCTCAAACAGATGAGGTATACCGTTGCGATACGACACGTTCAAAAATTGTATCACAGCGAGCACAATTAATCGCACGATATGAATGTCTTTTCCATTTAGGGTTGCAGATTTTTGATTTTTTGTCACCTACGAAAGCCTGCTATACAACGAGAGAGGTTCAACCATGATAAACAATCTCATTTTGCAAACCTGCATCGTGTTCGTGTCATATCGTAGTTTAAGGGCTTTTGCTTATTCACGTTAACGCGTCGGTAGATATCGCATATCGCATCGGGTTTTGGCACAAATGCCATTTAGACAGTATTGCACTTATATTTATCATAACTTTGCTGTGTTAATTACAAAAATTAATATTTCCAGGAACTTTTGGTAATGAACTGGCGCCTTGATGAAGTCAACTCAGAAGTGGTTTGTAATGAATGTAATCTATACATATATGTATAATAAATAGACTGCGGATTTTTATGCTGAAAACGAAGCCTAAAAATATGTACCCCATAATTATGAGCAAAATGTATACAAATTTATTTATTTTGCTTACAGTTAAGTGATACATATTGTTAGGCTTCGTTTTCTGCATAAAAATCCGCAGTCTATTAATAAAATTGTAACAGGCCGATGTCTGTACATAATAGATATTAAAGAAAAATTAATAAGTATGTATTTGGGGTTTTTATTTGAACAACAGAAGCCAAATCAAAAATTTTTAGAATTATTTTCTGTCTTTCTGTGTGTATGTTTGTACGCGCTTCACTCGAAAGCTAATGCATGGAATTGAATGCAGTTTTCACCGATGCATTTCTAAAGGTCTAACTTAAAATATAGAAAGAAAAAAATAGTATGTTGCCACCTGTTTTAAAATTTCAGTTAAAGTAATAAGTTTAAGTGATAAGATAAAGTAAGTATTCCAATATGGCTTTTAAAAAGAAGAAGTTTAAGAAGACTTACAGTTGAAAATACTTTTGTAGAACGCTGCCACCTGTTTGTAAATTTTAATTTAATTTAATTGATAAGATAAATTGAATATTTCAATATGAGTATCAAACTTAAAGGTTTAGGAAAGTTTACTGCCGAAAATATTTTTTAGGAGGGTTGCCACGTATTTGAAAAATTTATATACGGGTATCAAACAAAATAAAAATACTTTTAAGGCGCAGTGAAGCACGCTGGGTATTTGCAAGTTAAAAATAGAAATACTATCTATCACCGAATATTTGAAAATAGTACAATTATCAACTAAATTGCCCATTTCAGTATAAGAGACAAAGTGCATTTCGTAGTCAATCTTTACACTATATAAACACATATTTAATAGCATACTTATGTACATTTATTATTGAAATTTGGAAAAGTGGAAAGTTTTTCCTGTCAGAGGACAGATAAGTATAGTCCATTGCAGGGATGATAAATGAGTATTTTAATTTTGTACCAAATGACCAAAAATAATGTACTAAATAAACCGAAGAAGTACCAACATTTGAAAAAGCATACACACAGTTAAATGTTTTTAAATTTGAAAAATTATCTGTATAACAGTTTCCAAAATATTTACTTTTATAGAAATAACAAGGTTCTCGTATTCAAAATTATCTAAAATTGTAAAAAAATTACCACAGTTTCTGCGTTCTCCTACCCTTGCCTAATAGGGCAAATTGAGAGCCCAAAATGACATCGAGTTCTGCAATTTTTTTCTGGAAAAATTCTTAGCTGCGAAAACTTGCAAGTAAGAAAATCAGCTGATCACAAACATATCTGTGTTCGTATGGAAAAGTAGCTTATGTCGAAAGGCTGGCTTTAGTATAAATCGGCATTCGCAGCATACGATTGCGAATGACTCACCGGCGCTGAGCCGTTGAATAACTTTAGGCAAATAAACGTGCTTCCGATACTAGCAAGTCAATATTCTTGTTAAGTCTCATTCAAAAATTCCTTGTTGTTTAAAGAATAAAGGGAATGCCGTATTATACTAAAGCCAGCCTTTCGACATAAGCTACTTTTCCAAATGAACACAGATATGTATGTTCGTGAATAACCAAAAGAGAATAGGGCTTTTTGAATATATAAATATTGTATACAATGAAAACAAGTAAGAGCAGCGCTGTCTTCGGCTATGCCGAAGGCT